TGTACCCCGCCTCCATAGCCGAAGCCACCGCCGTTACCATTTCAACTTCCTCCGCCACCGTTTTCATTCGAGCTACCACCTCCGTTATACCATCGTGGTGCGTTACACTCCCGGGCAATATGCCCGAACTGGTTACAATTATAACAACGTGCAGCCCTTCTCCAATCCCTTGAGTTACCACCGTTGGCCCCCCCGTTGCCGCGCCCACCGTTGTTCCAATTGCCTACGTTACCATTGTTTCAGTTCCCCCTAGTACCGCCGTTCGAGTTTCTATTACCTCCTCCCCAATCCCCTCCCCACCGTTTCCAGCGTTTCTATTTCCCCATCCATTACCATTGTTCCCTCCGCCGTTATTACCGCTATTCCAGTAACCACCGTTTCCTCCTCCACCATTGTAACCTCCATTCCAGTTACCTCCTCCTCCTCCTCCTCCTCGACTATTTCGATTGCCTCCGCCGTTATTGCCGCAACCATTCCCCGTCCCCCCCCGCTTGCCATGCTAGTGTCGCTGATGCAAGGTAACCGTACGTCCTCACACACACAGATAAACCCCGTTTTTTCTTGAGCGATTTATCTAAAGCCAAACTGCAGGGCCACCAGCGCACAGGCAACGACCTGGCAGGTTGCTTCTACCTGTTTTTCGGTGATAAAAGCTTAGTTAGTCAAGACCAACAAATGCTCGACACATAGCCACGACAAGCGCAACGATTATATTTGAAACTCAACCTCGAAACCAGAGTTAAAGAAAAATAATAATAACATGAAGCACATGAATTTCATAGTTTTAGCTATGGCACCTCCGTCGACTACGGAAGAATAGAGTGGCGCACACAGACCAAGGCGGTGGCATCCCCGACTAGTTTCGGTCGCTGCGAGTTAGCGACCTCATCAGGGGGCGGTTCGAGATGCTTTGAGGCCTACGTACTAGCGTACTTATATTTGAAATTTCCTTGCTGGCGCAACTCAAGCCCACTACGCTTCTCACTTCATAGCTTTCTTAAAAATAAAATAAAATAAAACCCTCAGTTCTCGCGCGTTTCCACCGATGCTACCGTCCAGCCTGCTGGCAGGCTTACTCTTTTTCCCGCCGTTTCGTGCAGCCAGAAATAGCGCCGACGCAAGACTGATCTTCTTCAAACGAAAGCGCACCATCAGTAACGTTTGCCCATTTTACGTACCAGGAAATATAAATCCCACTTAATCTACTGAATCTACAAAATCTACGAGGGACAAAGTTCCTTCACAATCTACAGCGATCGGAGCCCAGTATCACGAGATCCGAACCAAAATCCGCTCGAGATCTGTACAAACTAAAGCAAAACAAAGTAAACAAACAAAGGGCAGACCAGGCGAAACAAACAACGACAAAACCTACCACTGCCAGACAACGGAAAAAAATTTAAAGAAACACCCGACTCAATATTCCTCCCGCCCTTTGCTTATCCACACGCCGATTTACACTAACTTTCCCATACCCGTAACTTCATAAAGTGTGCATGTTCCCAATATTCCTCCTGCTATTTGCCTGTTCGTTCGTCGACTTACACTAACCTGTCCCGTACCCCGAAAAAACTTTTTAAAAACAAAAGATTATATATATACTTATTAATAACCTGTCTTGTCCCGTCGACTTACACTAACCTGTCCCATAGCTTCAGAAAATGTTCCCATAAAATATATACTTATTCATATATTCATATATATATACTTATAAGTTTGAATTTTTTTGTACTACTTCGACGACAAAAAAACGAATAAGTTATAAAAAACTTTATGTTTATAATTAAATTATCATTCCGCTGAACTCTCAAGTTTCCAATTGTGATCTTATTTCACCATCGAATAAACCCTTAGTGGAATAAACCACTCTGTTTGTAACTTTTTTTAATCCAACTCAACTGAATGAGATCCAATTGGTGCCACTGCCACTTCGTCACCTTTAACATGTATTTGTCATACGAAACTCAATTGTCTCAATATTTCTTACCTATGGTACAAAGGACCCTTCTATATCTAAAATAATGCACTAGGTGGATACCATTGTATCATGAAAGAAATGATACAATTGAAAGGTAAAACGCCATTGGGGGGGAAAAAAAATGTTCATTGATTTCCTATTAGCAAATTAAAACATTTAAGTTAGAAATGGGACAAGAGGCTTCTACATATTGAATTCCTCGAAATGCAGTTCGCAACCTGTTAGGGGTGCGTTTTATATCCTTGACTCAAGTTTCGTGGTTTGGTCATACCGATCGTTCGTTCGAGTCCAAAGGGTGGTGAATTTGTTGGGGGATAATTAATGGGGAATGTGCATTTTTTGTTTGCCGAGGACCGGTAGCTGCTCGTAGGAGGCCGAGGATTCGTGGTCCTCGAGTTAAACATTTCAAAATCGAAACAGCGTGGGTCCACATTCTCGAATAAAAATGCACTTCGAATAGACTGCGTATGCTTATTTGAATATAGCACGTGCGTTTTCTATTTGAATTTCGGAAAGAAGAAACTATTGTGTTCGTATATAACATTACCTTTTGTTTGGTTGTACCGGTCATCCGTTCGGGTCTAACAGTGGTGAATTTGTTGGGGGGGCAATTCATGGAGAACGACCAATTGCTGCTTGCAGAGGACCGGTGACTTTTGTCAGTGGTCGAGGAGGCCGTAGTCCTCGAGTTGAACATTTCAAAAGTAAAACGACGTGGGTCCGCTTTCTCGAATAGAAGTGCACTTCGGATAGACGACATACATTGTATTCAAATACGAACTTATATTTTTTATTCGAACTTCTGAAAGAAAAAACTAATATATTTGAATAAAACATTACCTTTTCTTTCCTTTTTTTTTAGGTTAGTGCCTTCCCCTGTGTTCCCCGCCACTAACATGCTGCATGTTGCAGGGCTTTCTCTCTCTCACACACACACACACACACACACACACACACACACACACACACACACACACACACACACACACACACACACATACACACACACACTTACTCTCACATACACACGCACACACACACACTTCCCCCCCCCCCTAAAAAAAAAGTTATGTGTCAGCCCACTATAGGAGGTGATATGAGCATTTCCCTATAGTGGACTTACGACAAAATGATCTTGTCCATTGGTGGGGAGCGGCATCTGCTAGAAACCGGGCCCAACGTCCCATGAACATAGTGACTAAAGCACCAGCGGGGACCCCAGACACACACACTCTTGGAGTTGTGTACAACGAATATAATAAAACATAAACACAACATAATCACTACCTTACCCTTCCCCAACCACATCAACAAACAATCTATAGGTTGCGCCCCCGTGCCCTCACGGTAAGTCAATAAAAACTAAAGCTAGAAGAATAGTGGATAATATGGTATGAAGGGCTGGTTGTTTTAAATCAACTAATACAACAGAATGAGCCTAAGTTACGACAACGGTAGAAGGTTCATCCGGGGTGCTTCCGCCGACTCGCTAGCGCTCGGACCAACCGCCGCTTTTCAATAACAGCGGACTATTTTTACTATGAGCACTACCATCGAGAGAGCGCTACGATAGTGTTATGCCCTTGTGCCTGTGTCGATCTTGTCAGCAGGCCATTTCAAGAGGGTGGAAGGAGACGGAGGAGCCATCACGAAGAGTTGGAAGGACCTCCAACACCATGGATACAAGTTGGATATGTGTCGCCCGCTATTTCGCCCTGTTGCTGGGGAGCTATGGCGGAGGAAGATTATCATAACTGTGTGTTTTTTCAGCGACATGATCTTGGCTCGATCAATGCTGATATTGACCTTGACTTATGCTTCTCTTACTTCGATCTCCATCTCGCTGGAATTGATGTCTGGCGGGATCATTCCATCTTCATAGCAAACCCGGATCATCTCCCGAACTTTGTCTCTATCTTCTCCTGCCATGGGGTCAATAGGGGGTGAGCGCGTTTCACGTTGCAACAGCGTGAAATAAAGGGTGACACATATCCAACTGGCACAAGGGCATAACCCTTTATTTCGCGCTGTTGCTGGGAGCTATAGGGAAGGGTTGCAGCGTGAAAAGCACTCACCCCCTATTGACCCCATGGCAGGAGAAGATGGAGACACAGTTTGAGAGATGATCCGGGGTTGCTATGAAGATGGAACGATCCTGCCAGACATCAATTCCGGCGAGATGGAGATCGAAGTAAGAGAAGCACAAGTCAAGCATAGACCGAACCAGGATCCTATGGCTGAAAGACGACACAGTTATGATAATCTTCAGAGACAGAGACGGCGCGAGATTTATTCCAAGAAAGACCAAGGATGACATTTAGTACGTGGATATGAAGATAGCAAGGTAGCAGAAGGAAGCTTCGAGGCGGAAGGCTTCAGTAGAGGGAGCAGAATATCCCTCTGAAATTTCAGTAGTCTGTGAAATGTCCTTTTGGATTCAAAACTTTGTGATCTACACCTGTCAGGGGGAGGTGCAAGCTTGCATTCTGTCCCTGACCCCTGACAGGGGTATAGTGAAGCTTGGCAACCCATTGACAGGGGTACAACTCAAAGATGTAAATCCAAAAAGGCATTTCCTCGACTTCTGAAACTTCAGAGGGGGGCCCACATCTTGTAGGGCTAGTTTAGCATAAATGTGCACTGTCAGGGTTTTTTCGCAAATTTTCGCAAGAAAGGGAAAAAGGGACCTTACAAGCATCCTTTTTCCTTCAAGTTCTTTTCCTTCAAATTCGACTACAACGGTTGGGCGTTATCGTCGTAGCCAGAGGGCATGCTCACTGCTCAAGACCGGTAGGTGATGCCCCCACTTGGCCTTTCCAGATGAATGTACCGGAAAAGGCGGGAAGGTGCATTCATGAAAGCCTACCGCCACCGTTGTGGGAATATGTCGTGGCAACGAATAGAAGCGACGGCTCGCCTACCGTCTTCACCCGAATACAAAGTACGGTCATTAATTATAGCTGTATGTACAGCGATAATACTGTACGTTGTAGTGGGGTGTAGAAGGTAGGCAGCGCTGCGGGGTTAGTTGTTTCGCAGCCGCCGCTGGGCACGAGACGAGGCCAGGCGGCACGTTCTTGGTGGCGTACTGAGACGCACTCTCTCCAACTTGCGCGTGGGAAAAGGGAAAGCCCTGTTCGCTCTCCTTCGTCGTGCCATTCCTTTCCATCTTCACAGGACCGTTGCTGGCGTCCATTACAATTCACTCCTCTACCACCTCCCTTGGTGGACTTGGCTTCTCTTTGGCTTTTGTTGGGCTTCTCTTTCTGTGTGAGAGCGAGGGGAGGATCAGCTTTCTGCCAACATGAGCAGGTCAGGCCAGCCCCCGGATCTGAAGAAGTACATGGACAAGAAGCTGAACATCAAACTCAATGCCAACCGGACAGTGGTTGGCGTCCTCAGGGGCTTTGATCAGTTCATGAATCTTGTCGTTGACAGTACCATAGAGGTTGTTGGCAATGAGAGGAACGAGATCGGTATGGTGGTCATACGCGGTAACAGTGTCGTGATGATCGAAGCTTTGGAGAAGATTGGCTCGTAATGTCATCCTTCCATCATYGCTCCCCCTTTCCTTTCGTCTGCAAAACTAATGTCGGCCTGCGGCGCTGATCCAAGGCTGCGGGAGAACTCCTATCACGAGCAGGAGAGAGTAATGATCTTTCTGAAGTCCGTGTGAGTGGGCAGCACGCCACGTGGCGGCGGAATTGAAGTTTGTCAAATGGTTCGCGGGTCGGCAGGGGGGAAGGGGAATTGTTTGATGGATGGAGTGCATGTTGGATGATCAGGTTTGTGCATATTTGGCGGGGGATGGGCTCTGCGGGTCAGAGGGGCTGAGGGGTCAGTTGAACTGATTGATGGATTGAGTGAGTGGTTGGTCGGCTGATGGGTTTTCCACTGTTGGCAAGGGAAGAGGTCGTTGGAGGTTGGGGGATGTTTGCCACCGTAGTATCGCAGAGCGAAGTGGAGTGTGGATCGAGGTAGGCATCGACTGAGTGATTGATCGTCATTGGCCTGATTGATTGATTGATTGATTGCTACGTTGATTGCTTCGTTGATTGCTTAGTTGATTGACTGGATGCAAAACTTGGCAAAAAAGAACAATCGGCGTAGG